ACTACTCTGAAATAAATGTTTCACCCCAAAACTAAGAGTCCAGTACACAGATCTGAAAGCCCCAGAAGCCACCACCTCCACTACCGTAGGCCTTAACTTCAGACTCCACTGTAATAAGTACTTTTTCAAAAGATAGTGAACTTCTAGCTATATGGTCTTCTAGGTATATGCTTTCTTCTGGGAAGAAGCCATTAACAAGGAAAAAATATTTGACAGGAGTTTGAGATCTCATAAGCCACACCAAGTTGTCAACACAGAACTACCACCATAAATATGGCAATTTTACGTACAGCCTTCAGAACAGTTGTTTCGGTGACAGCGCAGCCGTAAGCTTGGACCAGTGATGTACATAAGCCAACCAGGACTGCATGAATTTGCACAGGTAGATTTCCACCTTTTCCCTGGTTCTGGAAAGCACTTAAAAGCAAGAGTCTAACCTGCACCTACAAAGGGCATGGGAATGCCACAGCCCACAGGATGAAAAGAGAAGGGTCTCAAAACCAAGTCTGTCTTCCAAAGCTCTGCCCTCTCCTGTACCTTTCTCTCACCTGAGGACCTGGTATGTGAGGTCAGTGAGACTTAATTTAGTTGTAGAGCTAGGCTCTTAGATACCCTGCTCCCATTTTTAAATTAAACCCTTGAATTTCAAGATGCGAAAAGGCAGCGTTACTTACCATCTAGTAATTCTAGAGTAACTGAAGGATCTACATATTCCCACCAGTGTTTTCCATCAGTTGATACTGGAATCTCCCAGTTGGACCACTTGCAGGCCAAGTGAATGCACACACATGCTATCACTGTAGGCTTGTACTGAAGACAGAATGTAGTAAGGTGAAGACTGTTGCACAAATTTCGAAATGAGGAACCAAAGGAAATCAAACATGTAAAACAGAAAGCCCAAACAAATCAACCATTAACACACAGAGTAAGGTAACTTGTCAAACAACAGCACTTAAACATTAGTTCATGGTACATTTCTCTGATTAAGTTCGTAAGATAGCTTACTGCCTTAAGAAAACAAAGGGCAGGGTGTTTATCTGGTGGAAAAGTTTAATTTGCTTTTGCTATGAAAAGTGTGATGAACAGTAAATAAGTTTACCAGTTATTCTACTGTACTTAAGTACTAAAAAGAAAGACGCATAATATGGTCAATTAAAATTTTACAGTAAAAGGCTTATAGCTGATTATGCAATCTCCGAATGAGGCAATGAGAAGGTGGTACCCAACAGTTCCACAGAGGCCAAGTGAGTTACTCGTGGGCTTAGCTTTCAGTTGGCCTGGGTTTGTGGAACTTGTCCACTCGCCTTCAGCTTCCAGCAGGCAGCAGCACAAAGACAACGGTTCAGTTTCACTGCTTTATCACAGCTTTTCTTAACAGCTGTTTCAAACACAGAACCTTGCCCATCAAGGAACCACCAAGAAGTATTTGTTTGGAAGAGTTCTAATGACCAGCAGATATTGCTTAAAAACTATCTACACGTAACGTAATCCTCTTAAATAAAGCTCAAAGCTGTTTTGCAAGAAGTACATTGAAGTCATTGAGAAATCGAGACTGAAGTCTGCTCTCAAATTCCACCCTTCTACCACAGGCTATGTATACACAATCCCCATCTGGAATCCTAGAACTTAAATTTATCTAAATACTTAAGTTTTAAAACCATATTAAGATTAAAGAGCTGTTTCTAAAAGGAAGAACATTGGACTACTACTGTTCTATCTGAAAAGAAAAATCAGATAGTTTAAAAGATCTTAGGCCCACTACAATTTTATAAGTTAAGATTGGATCAATATATTTAAAGTTAAGAGAAAACTGCCATTAACTACAAGTGTAAACTAAAAATAGTTTTGTACTTACCAAGATGCTCGGATTTCTAGGTTAAGTTTAGCTCTTTGTAATCTTTAGCTGCTATTCAGGCTACCAATTTTAGACTTATGCACTCACAATCGAGAAAATGTCATCAGAAAGCACCACTACACTTCTCATCGTGCATTTAACCCCTCTGTGCCAGCAGGCCCTTGTACAATACACCGCACTGCAAACGGGAAGGTACCACCACTGTAGATGGCCCAGTCTCCTGTTGCAACAAGGGTAAGACACATGTAGGGGGCCCTGCAGTAAAGGAAGCTATAGTGTGCTACAACAGTGCAACAAAGAGGTTCAGGATAACAACCTGTTGGTAGCCATGAAATAGGATGTCTGTGCCAAATCCTTGCTTGCTGTAAGAGAAGAAAAACAGAGAGATTAAAGACCTGCACTAACTTATCGGGTTCCTTCCACAATTAAAGCAGCTTTACCTTCCAAAAGCACCACTTGGTACTTCCACAGAACTGGTCTGAATGTGGCTAACTAGCCTTTGAGATAATCTCTGAGATACAAAAGAGGCCACCGCATTCAGTAACTGGAGACGGACCAGTCATTCCATTTGCTGACCCTCCTCCGTACAACCCACAGGACACCTTCCCTTTGCTCACCCACCCCGCAAACGCCTCACAGATGAGC